AATGCTATTGTCTGTAATTAGCCTTTACCGCTTCACCGAACGATAGGGGCAAGTGCAGAAGGCACTCTCAACTCGTGGATGGACTTATGAGGTGAAAGCTAACTTCTGTTTGACGGATACCTATGTAACCGGAGGGCACCACCAGGGGTTTGAACATCGCTCAGGGCGTCGTAATTACGATACCCGTTTAAATTTGACGAGGGTAATATATTGTTGAAGACTGATCGATCGGAAGCTTAATATGATATGGTATATTGTCGCAATACGCATGTTACTGTACAACTCCGTTCCCTACTTTATGCATATCTTCAGGCCACGAAACTACCGATTTGAAATGATTAAAATGTAATATTTACTTAACTAGTGAGTACAAATAATACCTGTCTATAATACTTGAGGATTTCCATTAATTTTCCTGAAAGCACATAATCAGATCCTGATATAAAGATAATGGCCATCTTGTGAGTATACCCTTCCAAACAATATAAGAACTTTGAAAAAAGGTTCACAATTGAATGATATAAAAAAGCATACACAGCGATCCAACACAGAAACTGCACCTAACGACTTACAGTTTTTTATATGATACTGAAAAAGCAAGCTGAGGGCGCACCGACAAAGGTTGACATTTTTTATTAGTTTATAAAACGTATGCCCACGGCATGTACATTCAACTACTGATAACTGCAGTTTAATGATATAGTATAGTATAAAAATCTGCCGTCAGAAAACAAGTAAAATTAGCAGCATTTTCACGTATACCTTCACTATCTGATACCTGAAATAGTATCGGTAGGTAGGTTTTTTTTTTACTGTGTTGTTTGGGCTTCAAGTGACTGTAGCACCTGTAGCACTGCTACATAGATCTATTGTGCTCGCCCTTTTTCAGAGCTCGCTACCTAGACCCGTCAGGGACAAGAATTGAAGGATATTCTTAGGAGCGATGGTTTTTATCTCCTCGGGAAAGAGTGTAAACTTTCCAAAGGAGATATTTCGTTTATGCATGATTAGATTTTTGTTGTGCATAGGCCTAGTTTTGCTAGCAGGTAGGTTACTATTATAGTATGTACTAACACTACACAAGTCTGAAAATAATTACTGTCTAATTTGTCTTCATTTTACTTGTAAGTAATGACCGCGTCATATATAGAAGAGTAGATATTATCAGAATTATATCTCCTACGGCAGAACGGGTGCCAACTAATCTTGTATAAAAATTTGGTTCGACATTTAAGATATTTTTGTGTGTGCATTTATCTGCCATCTATTGCCGACGATGAATATACCGCCTATTTTTTTTTTTTTAATTACTAATTTAGCCTACTGGAATGTATTTTTCTAAGATTTATTTAGCCTATATATTGGCCTACATTTCATAACGTATTCTGTGAAATTTTATCCTAACGCCTACGGCAGTTTCTGCGTGAACCGACAGTTTTCGACTCGTTACGATTTTATTATACGTAAAGAAAATACAGATAAAGGAGTGAAAGACAATGTTCTGAATCTATTACGTCCTGTCCATTACATTCTCTCCACGACTTTGTATGAACTTATTTGCCGCTTTATTGGTAGACCACGACAGTAAGCTCGGATACGGCTCATCTTATGTCACGATAGATTTGGCAGTTCACCGTATATGCACACTAATATTTTTTTAGTGGATGAGAACAGTAGCTTTCACCCGCCTGCGCCAACGGTTTACGCTGGCGGGGCACCAGTGTAGGATTTATAATCCTACACTGGTGCCTCGCCAGCATGATGCCGCCAGATGAACAAGGTTGAACAAGGTCAGGGTCAAGTTAATTAGCCCATCGTGGTTAATTAACCGGGGATTTATCACGACGATTCCAGGGGGAACCGCGTGGTCAAGATGACACGGTACACTGCTAGCTTTGGGATCATCAGTCCACATTTCAAACAATTCGCTTCCCCCTGAAGTGAATCTGTCTATTCGTCCTTATCTTGACTAAACGACTAATCGGATCTTAATGATATTTAATGTGAAGATAAATTGTGTCCTAACGATGGACATATGCTGATTTTTATATAAAAAAGTATAGACAAATCACGCGGGTTAAACTAACCAAAATTTAAAAAAAATCGTAAAATAACAAATAGATTCGTAAGGAAATTTCCAAGACACGAAGTTAGTATAATAAACAGCTGATACATAAAAACTGCACGACCACTGTTGTCTGGGAGCGGTCTGTATCAAAAATAGAACATTATAATATAACGCCAACTGCGCAGTAAGTACGTAGGAACGATCGCCATAAAAACGATACCGTGAAATTATATTGGAAAATGTCTTTACATAACACAATGTATATGTTACCTACATACAACAAATAGAACTGCATTGGTCGGTTAACAATACATATAAATAAAATTGGAGTGTCTGTTCGTAATATTGAAATAATCGTTTTTTACTACAGGCATATTTATTTATTTATTTATTCATTTATTTCAGGCAACTAGGCCCATATTATAAATACCTTATAGACTAACATACATATAATATAATATTTAAAAACTAATACAATAATATTGTCTGTGTGATCACGGCACTAAAGACGGCAATCTGCCACGGTAGCGCCGATACACCACACCTTTCGGCCAGTAGTCCTCTTTCATGAAGGTGGGCATATGAATATAAATACGGTACATACACCAAAATAACATTTTTTACAATTTTTGTCTGTCTATCTGTTTGTTACGGCTAATCTCTGAAATGGCTGGACCGATTTCGACGGGACTTTTTTTGGCAGGTAGCTGATGTAATAAGGAGTAACTTAGGCAACTTTTATTTTAGAAAAATAAAGGTAAATTCCACGCGGACGAAGTCGCGAGAACAGCTAGTATATAATATAGATAAACAGCTACCTTTTACCATCGCACCGCTCGCCATCGAAATGAATTCATCCCCACACGTTAGAACCTAAGTCTCGGACTGTGTGGTTTCAGAGGAGCTTCCTCCCGCGTACACTTAGATTGTGGAATGAACTGCCTGTTGAGGTTTTAATGCGAGAGTACAGCATGGATTTTTTCAAGGATATATTATGGTTTCATAAGGGTCGGAGACGCGCACGTGACTCCCCTGATGTTTTAAGTGTACATAGGTTACGATAACCATTTACCATCTGGGCAGTATGCTAGTTTGCCACCACCGTATTATAAAAAAAAAATATAATGTAGAAAATAATAATAGTTGCCTATATATATGAATATATGTATAGTTTGCCTGGAGATCTGTAGTACAGGTTTCGACTTAGTTCAGACTCCTGACTCTCACAAGGAATTGCTTGTAAGATTAAATACATACTTTTGATACTTTGTTCAATATTGTAAGTTTCTTTGGGAGCAGTAAATAAAGATTATTATTATTATTATTATAGTTATAGTATAGTTATCACTTGTCCTTCCGACCAATTCAAACGGTGAACGAAACTACAACGGTCTGAGTCAATGTACGAAGCCCTAGCGGTCCCTTCAACATGAAGTCGTATTCGTCAGCCCAGCCGCTCCATAAGTCCTTGCGCGAGTTTTTTAATGCCATCTGCACTAGCTTGGTGAAGCTGTGAAGGCTCGCTGCGGCTACTAGGATCAGATCAGTTTAAAAAAGTTACCACATCATCAACCTATGTGATCGACACAGTATGTGACTGTACAGTACTCATGGATAATAATTTCTGAGTAATATGTCATGGCTCTGTACCATGCAATATTTCTGTCAACCCTTTAAACTAACTGGATATCACATTGTCAGATGGAGTGTACATTGTATTTTGCTGCTCTCTCGCACTTAAAACTAGTATGCAACTCGCTTGGTGGCTGATATAATATGGACGAAACAAAGATATGTATCGAAACATCTTTGTACAGTCTATCCTGGTATATACATAGCTATTTTACTATTTCTTTGCCATAAAACATAAGTATATCTACAAGTATTAACCGACCATTGTCTGTCAGATTTATTTAGTTTTTTTATATTTTTTTAATTCATGATAATGTAATGGTTGCCTATGTTAATAGTAACAGGTTACCTCAGGTTAGTTATGGTGGCAAATTCACCAGGATTTTTTGTTCTTTTCTTAATATTATATATAATTATTAACAATTTTCCCCTTCCCTCTTATTATTGGTCTTTTCATCACTGAATAATCAGTTTAAATTTCCACAGAATTTTTTTTTTGGTGGCCTAACTTGAACTTGTATTCTATTGGTCTGAGTTTTGGTAGCCAAGAAGTAGACTAGAACACTCTCCTAAATAAATAAAATGTATCTACCAAATTTATTGATATCAATTATAAAAATTAAAATGTTTTTGTGCTACACATTTAAATTTATTAGCTGTTTATCTCATTTACTCTCAAAATCAGTTTTCAATTTTCTACTGAACTATTTAGTTCTCTTAGTTTTCCATGCTATATGATCACAACAGATTACCTTTGGATCATGGTGATCTTAACTTTAAGAAAATAGAAATAGAGTTTATCAGTTTTAAGTACATTTTCAATTTCTCTAGATTATTCATGTATCAATAGGAATATGAAGTACTTGTGTGGTATAGTTTTGTATACTCTGTTTCCTTTGCCTTAATATGCATCCCTAATGAGAATTTTTGTTTTTTCTGAATCAATTGATCATTTCAAAGTAATTTTCAATATCTAAAGTGAGTTCTTCTTCAAGGTTATTTTTTAATTGTTTAAGATATTTAATTTAATATAATAAATATAGCTCACTTAATTCGCATTAACAGTTTACTAGCGATATATTTATTATTTAATACAATAGGTGATAGAATAAATAAATAAAATTTAATGTCATCGTTAGTAACTTAGTGTGTAATAATAAATAATAACAAAAGGAACGGACAATGCTATTGAACGGAACGGAACAGGTGTGAATTATTCATAAAAATTTATTCATATACTCGTCACATTCATTTCACTTTCCTAAACCCATACGACATAGAATAAAGTGAAAATACTCACCAAATTACTGTGATGTACTGGACAATGCTAGAAAACGGCTCGGACCATTGCAATAACCGCGTAAACACTGTGCACTAGACCAAAATATTGAATTGCAATACTGCTAAAAAACTACAAACGACTTTAATGTTAGGCACTTTATTTCGTTTTTATTCTTTAAATATGATTATCTCAATTATCTAATATTTTATTTAGAATATAGGTTTTCGGCAACGTATTGTTTGATTGCAAATTAATCTTATTTATCATATATTGTACACAAACAAAACTTAAATCAACAGCGCGAATGAAAATCAAGACGAGAAGGAGGACATTGATAAAAATAAAATCGTTGTTTGACTGACGTACGGCAAAAGATTCAATTGGAAATATTGAATGAAGTGAATGGCTGAATTTTTGTTGTAGGTTGAGTGAATGACTGTTTGACAATATTTCTTAGTATTGCCATAACAAATTTCTATTTACCAAATATACCTGTCTAAGCTGGTAGTTTTAATTTTATTGCCTAATAAAAACGTTGTTATTAACTAATATAAAGCTTGTACATGTTGTGAAAAATAATACCGAAGGGAAAGAGATTGTTTCGCTGAAGTATTAGAAAATTTGGATATAATAAATATCATGGATTTTAAAAGTATGCTAACAGGTGTAACTCTGCAGTTATATTTGTGTTGAAAAATCATTCAATTAATTTATGGGCACGAATAAGTAAAATTAATATTTGTCCCAGTTATATTAAATTTTTTACAATGGTACGGTTACTTTTTTTTTTTTACATAAATAATTAGTCCTTCATTCTAACACGTTTTGTTTCAACACATGACTATTCAGATTACAGATATTGTCATTTATTATTTCGCAGTTACTTATAAATTTACTTTCATACCAAAATTCTCTAATAAAAATAAAATCGTCATATGATTCTAATAGAATTTAGTCTCTATCTACTATTGAAAATATAAAACGAACGAATGGAAACATAAGCAGTAACATAACACAAATAAAAAAAGTCAAACTGTCAAACCAAAAATTCAAAATAACATCCAGATCAACAGTTAAAATTATATTTTGTTTGTACTATTTGTGAATAAAACATGTACGAAATTAAGGACCGTCAATTATTTTTAGTACAGGAAAGACTGAAGACTTTCAAGAATTGGCCGTTCAATAACAATAACAAATGCAACGCGAGGAACATGGCCGAAGCGGGATTTTACTCAGTGGCTACGGGGGATGAGGATGCCGATGCCGCTAAATGTTTTCTGTGCGGCAAGGAATTGGATGGCTGGGAAGCCAGTGACGACCCATGGGAGGAACATAAAAGCCATGCCGCTAAATGTGCTTTCGTGCAACTGGGACGAAAAGAGGATGACTTATTGGTTAGTATTCTTTTAAGTAAATTATTATGGAACGGTGCAGCTTCACGCTATATCGGACGCCTATATGAGGCCATACAGGAGTACTAAGATGTCATTTCTCCGTACCCGTAATTTCACTACCATAACTCCTCTTCTAGTTACAGCTGAAATATTATAAAAGACCATTATTTTTTTCTTTAATCAAAGTATTGACACTATTAATAATAAATAAATAGTAATATTATAAAAAAACCCTGTCTGTATATGAAAGATATATGTATGAGAAAAACTTAATGGGGAAAAGAAACACTTGTTTAACTCAATACAAACAAAAATAAAATTAAAAAAATAATTATCTCTTTGTGCACACTAATAATAAAGACAGCTACACCAATTTGATTGTTGTTCTCACTAATGTATTGTGATAATCCCCAATTTATCTGGGATCGGCTCTCCCTGTATATGTGCACCAGAGAACTCTGTTCTGGGTTGTCTGAGTAGTATGGTTGTCCTGGTACCATCTGCTTCTTAATGTTGTTATAAGCTATATTACTGTACAGTTTCATCAAAGTTTTTGAGTGAAAGAGTAACAAACATCCATCCATACATACAAACTTTTTCATTTATAATATTAATATAATAAAATGCATTTTTTTCAGTTTTCAGAATACCTGTCAGTAGTGAAACAGTACATGATAAACAATTTGAAACAAGATGGTGAATTGTGCAAGGAAATTATTGATGAGAAAGCCAAGAGTGTGAGAAGAAAATGTTTGAGTAAGAAATAATTGTAAACATCCACTTGATGTTTACAGTAAGTCATTGAAGTATCATCACCATCACTTCAGCCTATGCTTATTTACTGTTGGATATAAGTCTTTCCCAATACCTTTCACCATGTATGATATTCCATGTTCCACATCAATCCTCTCCCATTGACCTTGTTCGGCGATCTTACTCACTAGGATTCCAAGCTAAATCTGAACTCTATTCAATGCCTCACGTCAGGGGCGGATTGTGAATTTGTGGGGCCCTGGACTAAATCTACTTAGGGGTCTATGTAATATTACTCAACTAAAAAGATACACCGACCAAAAACAAGCAACCAGATATTCCCCGTTCTTTTCAATAGACTCTCACTTGTATGGGTTGATTTATCTCAGGGTTATGGTGGGTTTTCAAGATTCTAGATTTTTTTTATGATCTAAATATCGTTTCAGTGAGGACTGCGGCCCTTTGTATACTCGGGGCCCTGGGCTGCAGCCCAAAAAGCCCTTAGGTAGATCCGCCCCTGCCTCATGCCGCCTCATACAGAGGTGAAATACATGTTACAATATGAGTGTAGACACAATAAAGGTCAGAATTTGATCACCATTAGAGAAGGTTGTAATGGTAGTTAAGTGTCCATACTGAATATTTGTGGTCTCACACATGCTAATGGTAGGACTTCCATAAAACAACACTTGATGTGATAAAATATGCAGGATTTATTTAATATTGTAAGCTTATTTGTAATGATTTAACTCACAAAGTACTTGACAATAAAATGTGCCTAAATGATTTATGATTCTCAATTTGTATTGACATAATGTAATAAATTTGTTATAAAGTGATTTAATAAATATATTTTAAATAAATTTTCATTGTTTCATTTATACAACAATAATAACGTTTTATTGCAGTTTTTTTACTTATACAGTTATTCATTTTTATAAACTTAAAGTGTATAAATTTAAATTATTTGACAGTTGTCGCCATATCTTTGGCAGACTGTTAACGCTGGCGGGAAAGTACCGAAATATGATAAAATGAGCATAAAGTCAGGTCAGTTAGCCCATCTTGGATGCAATTTACCATAATTTTTCCAGAGGGAACCGCATTAAAGTCAACCTGACTATCAATGTACTATATCTATATCATTGATAGCAATGGGGTTATTAATCTATATGGGCTGTATGCTTGTTTGCCACCTACGTGTCATAAAAAAAACATTGCTAACAATCCCCTTATCCACCTTAGTGGCATATAGATAAAAGAATCTATATATTTAGGTATTCGATAATACCATAGAAAGGGGAAGGTGATAGCCAGCTTCTATCGTTAGACCAACCAGATGCATGGTGCATTTCCATTATCATCAATTTAAAAAAAAATCTATGTTGTTTTCTCTTGTGTACCGTGCGGGGAATCGAACCCTTTTTTTTCCCATAACACAAGCTCTGCTTACATGTGAATTGCAGTGAAATATAAAATTTTGAATTAAAATCCAGTCGCTTCCGACTTCATTGGACTATAATGCTGTTGGCCGTAGTTGGCCTTTATAGCTTCACCGAATGATAGGGGGCGAGTGTAGATGGCACTCCAAACCCGCGGAAGAACTTATGGAGCGGCTGAAGGCCAACTCCCGCCTGACGGATACGACTTTACTCTGAGGGCACCGCTAGCTCGGCTCAGGCCGTCGTAATATCGATCCCCGTTTGAATTGGACGGGGGATCTATCGGAGGGGACCGGAGTCGAACCCGCAAGTAAAGGGGTGTGCTAAAGCGCTATACCACAGAGGCTGTCACATTATATACATATAGATATGATAACGTGCTTGTATGTTGCATTATGGTCAGTCCACAGAGCAACTGCGTTGCTAAGCAACGACCAAATAACGCGTTGTCAAATTTCAATCAACTGAGTGATATTTTTTGTAGTGAAATATATTTTATCCTTGTATTTATAGATTTAACTAACTTATAATAATGGATGTAAAGAATTTGGAAACCTATTCTATTATAGGTTTTGATGGTGAGTTCAGTATAAAATTATCTATACTAATAAGACCAATGACTATTTTGAATAAGAAAGATATGGTTTTTATGTTTGTTACTAATGAAAAATTACTTGACTCATTTAAAAAATTGTTACATCCAAATTTAGCAGCAGAATACGGTATATAGATTACCTAATATTGTTACTAATATTATAAATCTGAAAGTAAGGATGTTTGCTACGCTTTCATGCAAAAACTACTAAACCGATCATCATGAAATTTTCTACACATGTTCTTGGAGGTATTAGAATGAACATAGGATACTTTTTATTTAAAAAAACTGTTGTAGTAATAAGAAAGAAGACTAGGTAAACGGAGAAAATATATTAATAATAGAGAACTAACATATTGACAACAGAAAGAATGAATTGAAGCATCAAAAACAAGAATGTAATATAAAAGAACTATAAATTTAGAATATACAACATTTCTTCATTAGCCAGTTACAACAAAAATAAAAAATAAAATATCAATTTTACTACTTCAGCGCCATTTAAAAAAAAAAATTATAACTTCCGTACTGGCTGCTAAGTACGGAAGTTATAAGTTTAATTTTTTTTTATACTACGATGGTAGCAAACAAGCATACGGCCCATCTGATGGTAAATGGTTACCGTAGCCTATGAACGCCTGAAACACCAGTGGTATCACTTGCGCGTTGTCGACCCTTAAGGAACCTTAATATATTAATGGATTTAATGATTCAACTAGCCTTTACAGCTTCACCGGACGATAGGGGGCGAGTGCAGATGGCACTCCAAACCCGCGGAAGGACTTATGGAGCGGCTGAAGGCCAACTCCCGCCTGACGGATACGACTTTAGTCTGAGGGCACTGCTAGAGGTTCGAACCTAGACTCAGAACGTCGTAATTTCGATCCCCGTTTGAATTGGACGGGGGATCGATCAAAGGGGGCATTTAGCAGTAGGTCCGAAATAAAATATTATAAAAGCTCCACAGGCCATGTCGGTATTTCGGCCCATTAGGGTCTCTGAGTTGTCAATTCACTATTATTGTTAGATATTCTAAATATTTATATATATGTTATTCGTAAAGTTAGTTTGAATATTATTTAAAATTATTGCCACTTGGTTTTGGTGATACTACGCGCATTATCTGTTAACCGTGCTAAGTGTCTGGCAATGAGCAGCACAAGTTGTAATACTGTTACGAACAATACGAATATATGAAAAAAAATTGTTTTATAAGTTAATAAATTTGAGAATTTTTATTTGGTTACCTGCCAAAGGAACCACGATCCAGGTTTCATAGATGAGGATCGTTCTTACATCTGTTGGGGACACACATAGAAGAACTTTCACATATAATACGAAGGTCTGGCCGTCATGGGCTCTTGGTCTATGTCACAAGTCCTCCTTTTGGGAGGGAAGGGGATTGTTAGTAATGTGGACTCATGACCCCATTACTAGCAATGTACCATGTCAGGTTGACCTCCACGCGGTTCCCCCTGGAAATCATCGTGATAAATTCCTGATTAATTTCTCACAATGGACTAACTGACCTGACCTCATGCTCATCTTATCATCCTCCACTGGTGCCCCGCCAGCGTAAACTGTTAGCGCAGGCGGGTGCATCATTCCATTATCATCCATAAAAAAATCACTTCGTTTGATATTGATTAATTCTATACAGGATCAGCAATCAGAGGCCTCAAAGTCCACCCGGATGGCGCACACATCGTATACCCAATGGGTAACAAAGTCTGCATTCAGGAATGGAAGACCAAGAAAATGTACTTCCTCAGCGGACACTCCAACAGCGTGTCCACGGTGGCGTTGTCTCCGAATGGCACGTTTGTGGGGTCTGGTCAAATAAACCATATAGGTTTCAAGGCATCTGTTAAAGTGTGGGATTTTAAGAATAAAGCAATGCTCGGAAGTCATGAGCTACATAAGGTATATAATAATAATCACAGGACAATTCACACTGCGCCATCTAGTCCCAAGTTAAGCTAGTTAAAGCTTGTGTTATTGGTACTAGATGCTTAACTGATAAATACATAGATTTTTTTCGTAAATACATATATATATTATATTTAGAAAACACCCAGAGCGATACAAACAATTATACTCACAAACAGAAATGTTTGCGGCGTGCGAGGTATCGAACCCGCGACCCTCGGAAGTAAGACGATGTGCTAAACCGCTCGACCACCGAGGCCGTCATATCAGTTTTGAAGTTTTAGGGATATTTAAACTTATAGATGTAGAGAATAGAAGAGAGGTAGAAGTCATGGGTAGTAGCTAGTATTACAATATATTATGTATTAACTTGGGAATTAAACATCTAAAACTAAAAATTGCAAAAATACATACATACTCGTACATGCAACCATGACACTTATTGGCAGAAAACGTATCTTATTTGATACCATCACAAAAAAATATTTGTAACAATTTCCAGGTTCGTGTAGAAGCATTAGCGTTCTCAGCTGATGAACGATACTTGATATCTCTGGGTGGCCGTGACGACGGGTCCGTGGTGCTGTGGGACTGCTTGGCCGGCGCTGCCACCGGTACAGCAGCAGCCTGCAAACTCACCACCGGAGATGCTATGACACTCACCACCTTGAACTTGAGGCCCAACGCATTTGTCACGGGCGGCGACTGTAAGTTTGTAATATTTAGGTGTCTGTATAATAAGTTATTTCAATAATGTTAACAAACAGTAATAAATCGAGGCAGTATAGCCAAGATACGTCAGTGTTGCCTCTTTCAATACCCATGCTTCACCATTTGGGCAAAATAGCTACCAATTATCAGGTTAATATTAAACTGTTTTTGACGAGCAAAAATAATTTAGCTTCCGACTCTACTGGACTTCTGGATCCAACGTCTCTACGCTATATGGCAATAACATAGAGTACATGGTCGTTATTTATTTCTTTTTAAATTTAGGGACTTTTGTACAATCTAAGTACATACCAGTACCATTGTACCCTAAAACTAATTACTCCATTATCTCACCAGTGAACAAATTGCCTGAAGGATATCCCTATATAATAATTTAACCAGAGTAGAATTCTTTTTCTTTCTTTAAATAAAAAACAAATTGTAGAGAGAAAATTATAATTATTCTTTTTGTAAATGCAGAATGATTTGATGAGCAAATAATTTTCTAGATTAGATGCAGTGTAGATACACTGCATCTAATCTAGAAAATTATAGCTACTACCAATATTGATGATGTTGACAGTATTGTAAAAGATGAATGAAAAAGTAATACAATAATTAAATAATTACACAGTACCTGCAAATTTGTTTTTAAAATATTTTGCGGCTCCTATATGAATTTAGTTATTTTTATTGACCCTAGATCCTATCTAGTTTGGACAGCCCTTATTTAGGGAAAAAAACGTAGCAACTAAAAAAAAATGAAGAGTCCCATCACCTATTCATCAGCTATCTTTACACGATTCCTATTCTTTCACACGTGATCAGGAGCGCTCGCAATATAGCGCGGGAAACCCTGAGCGCGCAATCGTGAGGGATTCCATGCAACTATTTTATTTTCTTCAGTCATTCAGATATGATTTAAATAATTTCACTTTTTTTTAATTAAAAATAAGTATAGCAATGAATATTTCGTAAGGTTATAGTTTATATAGAGTAGAAATGCAGAATGCTCATATTTTTTTTAAATTATCCATAAAAATATATTAAATCAATAAAAAAAAACATTACATATGTTTTACACATACGCATATATATACGAGTAGTTTATTGTTAAAGTCTGTGGTCAAATTGAGAAATTGTCTTTAACATTAGAACCTCAATAATGATGAAACTTATAGTTTAAATTAATTATGATCGTATTTTGATCACTGGGCGACAACTATTATATCTTGCAGGCAATCTCAGAGTGTGGAACATAAGAGCAGAGAGCAAGAATTTGGACGTGGTCGACGTGTCTCTGGGCAAGTTGCGCAGGAGTGTGAGGTGTATTGCCATCAGCAACGATGATACCTTCGGATATGCGGGAACTACGTAATTTTATTTATTTAATAGTTATGTAATTAAAATATTGTAAACACGAAAGTTTGTCTGTGGATGGATGGATACGTAATTGTTACTCTTTCGCACGAAAACTTCTGTTGAACTACTATAAAGTTTAATAAAACTATAGGTATAATGATATAGCTTATACATCAGAATAACACATAGGCTGTAAATTTCATGCAGGTGAAACAGCAGGAAAGTGTTTCGCCTCTGAACGAGGTATCCTCAGGCTTTAGGAGCTTAGAGCTCAGATATTGCTTAGAAGTTTAGTGTTGACAGTAATCGCAGTTTTCCTATATATACTGGTATGGTTTGCTTTATAGATGAGGAAAAATGTTAGGACACTTGATACGGCACGACGATTTCATGAAAATTATTATTGAGGGGAAAATAGAAGGAAAGAGGGGGAGGGGAAGACCAAGGCATAACTACATCAAACAAATTGAGGACAAAATGGGAGTCGTGTCGTATCAAGAATTAAATAGCATGATCATGAAGATCGCGGAAAGTGGCAAGAGCTCCACCGACAAGAGCATAGCTCTTATTCTGAATGATGTATTACTCTGATTGATATATTATGAATGATGAATGAATGGTTTTCTTATCTGTCTTATTTTGTATATTTTTTTTTTTATTATAAATATATGGGTCCTTCGAGCCGGATGAATTGATGAATAGTCACATTGTTTTAGAACCGGGGACATGATAAAGTTCTCAATAAACTATCCTTCGGACCCGACTGCGTCTGTGGCCGATATCAAGCCCACATTCCTCGGGTGTCTAGCACGATGTGGACCCTGGAAGAAGGGACGGCGACCGGAGTCCATGTGTTACAGTCAAGGTTCGATCTTATTTCAAATATTCTAAATTAAATGTTATCCTCAAAATTTTATGACTAATGTTGAATATATTTACTCCTATAAATCTAACATATGTAAGTATATTTGAAACTTTCTAAATCACAACTACCAATTAGTGTAATAATAATACGTAATAACCCTGTACAATTCACACATTGCCATCTAGTCCCACGCTAAGAAGAGCTTGTGACATATGTATCAGACAACTGATAGAAATACATTTTTTTGTTTATATATAAAATACATAAAAAACACAAAGACCGATGCGAATGATCCCACTCACACTACTTACTTGTATGCACAAATGTTTATACCGTGCGAGGAATCGTACCCGCGAACATCGGAAGTAAGACAGTGTGCTAAACCGTTAGACCGCCGAGGTCGTCAAAATTAATTTTAATTACAGATATTAATGTTTTGTTAGGTATCGAATCAATAATAATAATGGCTGACGGTTGTTTGATCGTGGGCGCGGGAGACGGTACAGTTGAGGTCCTGGACGAGATCAACTGGAAAGGGGACTTCCCCAAGGGGAAGATACTGAGCCCCAACCGGCCGCATTTCAAAGCCGTAAGTCTGTTTTCTTCCTTCTTTTTCGTCTATTTTAGCTTATACCTAATTTCAAAAAGAAAACTAAAGTTTTGGCCTGCAGAAAATAATTGACTTTAATTGAAATAAAGCCTGTGTGAAGGACCATTATATAGTTTTAGACTAATTAACTAATAGTCCTAAATTAAATATAATAGCATATCAGACAACCCCACTACCTCACGTTTCCCACGTACGCGCAGGCTGCCTCTACGCCTGCGGGATAATCTATAATTATTGTTGTCATACATTGTCAGACTGTACGATAAGTAATTGTTCTGTAGTAGTAATTAGTCTGTGCCGAAGTTTGTATGTTATTATTATATATTTTGTTGTAAATAGTAAAATATATAATTTTGTTCCTTTTTCAAATATATTAAAAGTACCAGAAATGTTAGAAACTTTTTGCCACGCACAATCACATTGTGGAATCACCTTCCAGCAATGGTATTTCCGAACCGATACGATATTGAAACCTTTAAGAAAAGAGCTTATTCCTTTTTAAAAGGCCGACAACGTACTTGCAATTGCCCTGTTGTTGCGGGTGCTCATGGGCGGCGGTAATCACTTACCATCAGGTTAGCCGCATGCTCGTTTGTCCCCTGTGTTATATAAAAAAAAAATCAAAATACGTTTTTATTTTCACTCGGCTCGATGAATCTTATAAAAGTGGCGCTCAACATGGGCCTATATAATTTAGTCTAGTCCTAAATTTCAGTTAAAATCCACAAAACTGGACGGCAGCATCACGTCTCTGGAGCTGATGGAATCTCCGAGTGTGAGAAACGAGTCGCGCCTACTTCTGGCAGGGACGCGTACCAGCGAGATATACGCCATTAACGTGGCCACATTCTCGCCCATCCTGGTGGTCACCTGCCATCGTTGTGCTATCAACGACATCGCGTTTCCCAGGTGACTTTTTTATTGAGGGTTTTTGGGCTTTTCTCAGGTTCTTCCTTATGAATGGTGGACTCGCCAGTGCTAACAGTTTACGCTAACGGTACGAGGATGATAAGATGAACATGAGGTCATGTCAGTTAGCCCATCGTGGTAAATGTAACATGAATTTATCACGATGATTTCCAGAGTGAAGTTTCCACGTGAAGGTCAACCTGACATGGTGTATTCTCTTCTTCCCTTCCCTCCACTAACGTAGGGTGTAGACCTGTAGCACTGTTACCTACATAGATGTACTGTGCTCGCCCTTTTTCAAAGTTCGCTACCTAGACCCGTCAGGGACAAGAATTGAAGGATATTCTTAGAATCGATTGTTTTTATCTCCTCAGGATAGAGTGTACTTTGCAAAGGAGTTATTTCGTTTATACATGAGTGGGCGACAACTACATAGGATGTTCATTCAAAATCTTCTGACGGTCTCGGTGGCCTATCGGTATAGCGCCTTTCTTCCGATGGTTGCTTGTGCGGTTGCTCGTAAGTAATGGAAAGTTTCCAAGCACCCAGAACGTATACCTAGCACGGTATACGTTCTGGGTGCTAGCAATAGCTGTCTCCAACTAGTCATTATTAATCCCCCCCCCCCCGCTCCGCCCCTAATTTTATTCAATCCCCTTTATTCCCAGGGGCATGTCAGGAGTGTTCGCTACAGCTGGTTCAGGTGATATCCGCGTGTGGAGCCTAGAGAGTTGCCAGGAGTTGCTCCGCATCGTGGTGCCCAATTTCGTCTGCTCCGCTGTTTTATTCTCTGCTGATGGAAAATCTATAGTCTCTGGTAATTGGTGTTTGAAAATATACCATTAGGAAGTCCAGTAAACGTCGGCCTGTAAATAAAATTAATTGTCATTATTTGTTACTAATAAACGAATAGCTGACTTTGAGTAAGATTTTTTAAATCCTGTCCTAAGAAACTATTTAAGTAACTATATGACGTCTCTGAGTACAGTGGTTAGACTACTTTTTTGCGTCCGTTTTGGTTGTACGGATAAAGTCGCCAGTCGCAGGCTATTATAAAATAACTAGCAACCCACACCGGATTCGCCCGGACGGTTTCTTTTTTTATTAAAACTAAGATATCTCCTATAGAATTTCTTTCTTTTTTAAAACTTTTAAAAGACAACAATTTCGTCATTCTTATTTTTTGTGAAACTTTAACCGTTTACGCAGCGCATGCAGCAGAAGCACTCAAAATTTTTTTTTTGCCACATCTGTCATTGCTGCTTCGCTTCTATTGATCGAAGCATGATGTTATATAGCGTATAGCACTCGTTGATAATATACCTTTCTAACAGTGCAAGAATTTTTAAGCTCGGAACAGCAAAACCGGAAATTACTCCGAACAAACAAACACACAAACTTTACCTCATTATAATTAGTATATATATTTGTTATATGCAGCGTGGAACGACGGCAACATCCGCGCGTTCACCCCGCTGACAGGGCGGCTGATGTACTGCATCTACAGCACACACAACAAGGGCACCTCCGCGCTAGACATGACGCACGACGGACGCACGCTCATATCCGGTGGCTGCGAAGGACAGGTCACTCTCAATAGCTTCCTTTACACGATACGTTCTCACACGACTCATATACTACATCTACAGCACAACAACGAGAGCACCTCGACAGAGGCACGCTCATATCTGGTGGCTGTGACAGACACAACAACGAGAGCACCTCGACAGAGGCACGCTCATATCTGGTGGCTGTGACAGACAGGTCATTCTCAATAGCTTGCTTTACACGATACGTTCTCTCACGACTGATATACTACATCTACAGCACGACAACGAGAGCACCTCGACAGAGGCACGCTCATATCTGGTGGCTGCGAAGGACAGGTCACTCTCAATAGCTTCCTTTACACGACTCGTTATCTCAGGACTTATATACTGCATCTACATCACACAACATGGGCACCTCTCTGCATTAGATATGACGCACGTCGGACGCACGCTCATATCTGGTGGCTGCGAAGGACAGGTTACCCTCAATAGCTTCCTTTACACGACACGTCCTTGCATGCGCGATCAGGAGTGCTCGTGATTTAGCGCAGGAAAACTAGCGCGCGCATCGCATTTTATAACTAATTTTAAAAATTATACTGTAACTAAAAAGGACTGATTATTGTGTTTTTCATTCTTTCTAATATTTCGTTGATATGTAGGTCCGTGTATGGGATATAAAGCCTGAATGCCAGACCTTGAAGAAGGTGTTGAAAGAACACAAAAGTCCAGTGTCTGCGATACAAGTATCTCCCAACGATACGGAGGCTGTGAGCGCCGGCACCGACGGCTCCTGTATTATATGGGACTTGCTGTACGTACCTTTTTAAGACTGTTATGACATTGGAAGAATTTTAATGATATTTTAATGTTAGTTATAGTCTGTTTGTCCCAGAGATTAATCCCAGAGACTAAATTGACAGGTGAAAATATTAAATTTTCAAATAATGTTACCTATAGCCGAGTGAGGGACAAGAATCGAAGGATATTTTTAGGAGCGATGGTTTATCTCCTCAGGAGAGAGTGTAAACTTTCAAAAGGAGATATTATGTTTATGCATTAGTGGGCTATAACCACATAGGATGTTTAGTGTACTTATATTTTTAAATATGATTTAACAGATGTTTTGATTTTTTTTTATTTAAAGGTAATTTTGGTATTTGTATCTCTCCAGATCGCTGTCCCGCCGTCAAGTAATGTACGCGAACACGTTGTTCATGTGCGTATGCTTTGAGCCGCTCGGCTGCCAGCTGCTGTCGGGTGGTACCGACCGTCGCGTCGCCTACTGGGAGGCAGGCAGCGGGAACCTCGCCAGGGAGGTACCGTTCACCATCGATACTGTTGATGTTCTGATTTATTTTGGTACTCAAATAGCTGTATACAGGGTTGAAAAACTGTTTGTTTTTATAGTGATCAAATTGTTGTTGTTGACATTAAACTTGAAACAGCGCAGTTTGATGTGGTTTGACTGTGAAAAACTAATATTAATCAATAAATAATTAAACCCTGGACAATTGACACAGCGCCATCTAGACCCAAGTTAAGCTAACTAAAGCTTGTGTTATGGGTACTAGATAACTGATACATATACATAGATATTTTTTTTTGTAAATACATACATATTATACATAGAAAACACCCAGACGAACAAATAAATACAAATGATTGTGCCGTGTGAGGAATCGAACCCGCGACCATCGGTCGTAAAGCGGTGTGCTAGACCGCTAGACCACCGAGGTCGTCGAGACATTATTATTATTTACAGATAGAAGCGAGCAAAGTGGGGGCTATCAATGGATTGCACATATCATACAATGGAGAGCTCTTCGTGACTGGTGGAAATGATCAGATGGTTAAGGTATGTTTTTTTTATGTAACCGGAATGGCAATAGAAATAGAAATAATCTTTATTCAAATAAACTTAATATAAGCACTTTTGAATAGTCAAGTTTTTTAATTCTACCGCTCATTCGGAATGCAGACTCATCACAAGAAGAATGAGCAAGAAACTTGTGTGTAGCTCTATAATAATAATAAATATTATGTTACTGTTAGAATAGAACGGAATAAAAATAATTTACATTAAAATAAACTAAATTAAGCACTTTTAGATAGTCATATACTTTTTTTTCTACCACTAATTTTTAATAAAAACAGCTAAGTAGCAAAATTGACAACAGTAACAAAATAAAAACACACACACACACAAAAATGTATGTGTGTGTGTTCATATTTAAGACTAGCTGCTCCCGCGACTTCGTCCGCGTGGAATTAAGCTTCATTTTTCTAATACAAGATTTTTAAAAAATAAAAATAGCATAAGGAGTAACCTTATTACATCAGCTACCTGCCACAGAAAGTCCCGTTAAAATCGGTGCAGCCATTTCAGAGATTAGCCGGAACAAACAGACCGACAGACAAAAATTGTAAAAAATGTTATTTTGGTGTATGTACCGTATTTATATTCATAAGCATGTAGTAAAAAACAGTTATTTCAACATTACAAACAGACACTCCAATTTTATTTATATGTATAGATAATACTGACATTCCTTTAATATTTCTAGCATATTTCATGCAAATAAATACATTTCATTTACTATGTATTCCAGCTGTGGAAGTACCAGGAGGGTATATATACGCACATGGGTCTGGGTCACGCGGGAGCGGTCACGTGCTGCAAGTTCAGTCCGGACGCGCGCCACGTGGTCAGCTGCTGCGCCGCCGGCACCATCATCGTCTGGAAGACGCCTCAGGTACCCACTGACAAGAATCTCCCAATCTCTCAAACGGTATCGAACCACTTAGCTTGAAGCGAGACTTCGCTCTGTGTGTTTTATCGAATATACAACGGACTATGTTCTGAAGAATTGTTTGACATGATGCCCACGGCTATCTTTTACCTTCGCACCGCTCGCCATCGACAGGGAATTCATCCCCACACTCTGGAACCTAAGTGGTCTCGGACAGTGAGGTTTCAGAGGCGCTTCCTCCCGCGTACACTCAGATTCGGGAGGTTTTCTCGAGAGATTACGGCATGGGGTTATTCAAGAAAAGTATATTAAAGTTTCGCAGGTCAACAACGCGCACGCTTCACCCCTGATGTTTCAGGCGTCCATAGACTACGGTAACCTTTTACCATCTGGTGGGGCGTATGTTTGTTAGCGACCTACGTGGTATAAAAAAAGACCACCATCACACACTAATAGCGACTCAACTCAAAAACCCTAGTAGCCACACATAAACAGTGACTTGGACCTCAACTCAAAGACCCTAATACCCATACACCAATAGTGACTTGGACCTTAACTTAAGACTCTAATACCCATACACCAATAGTCACTTGGACCTTAACTTAAGACTCTAATACCTATACACCAATAGTGACTTGGACCTTAACTTAAGTCACTTACCCATACACCAATAGTGACTTGGACCTTAACTTAAGTCTCTTACCCATACACCAATAGTGACTTGGACCTTAACTTAAGACTCTAATACCCATACACCAATAGTGACTTGGACATTAACTTAAGACTCTAATACCCATACACCAGTAGTAACTTGGACCTTAACTTAAGAACCTAATACGCATACACCAATAGTAATTTGGACCTCAACTCAAGACCCTATTACCAATACACCAATAGTAACTTGGACCTTAACTTAAGAACCTAATACCCATACACCAATAGTAACTTGGACCTCAACTCAAGACCCTATTACCCATACACCCATAGTAACTTGGACCTTAACTTAAAACCCTAATACCCATACACCAATAGTAACTTGGACCTTAACTTAAGACCCTAATACCTATACACTAATAGTAACTTGGACCTCAACTCAAGACCCTAATACCCATATACCAATAGTAACTTGGACCTTAACTTAAGACCCTAATAGCCATACATCTAATCCTATCTCCAAACATAAACAAACTTATGATACATACAACTTAAACTATAATAATCATTATTTATTTTACAACACTTTGCAAAATAACAGTTTAAAAAAAAAATGATATTCCGCAATTTAACAGCAATACCTCCAAAAAGAACAAGCACAATCAGCCCGTGATGGGCGGCCTGAGACCGCTAAGACTCTGCAAGAAGAATTACGCTTGCCACTAGAGAATAAACCCGTACAGAGAGCTTCGGGAGATCGCCAGCACAAAATACCCGCTGCCCCATCGAAGGTGATTTTCTTTATAGATTTTTATAATACAATACTATGGTAATAACAAAATAGAAATCAGAGATAGGTACTATGTACCAACCTATATTATTGACACAGGTCCTCCAAGTAGACAATTTTTAAAGTACCTAACTCCCTCGATAAAAATTTCACCCCTCTAGGGCCTATAAGGGTGGAATTACTGAATCTCCCGAGGTTCCTTAGAGCGGTAAAACAGATAATAGAAGCTCTAGGGAAAATAGTAGTCGTAATTTTGATGGTCTCGTGTTCCATCCTTCGCATACTCATTAATACAAATATTTGTATAGTATATATATATATAGTATGTTTGTATCTGTTTAGGTGTTTCCTACGTATATTATATATATATTTACAAAAAAAAAATGTAAGTCTATTGTCTATTTAAATTGTATACATTACACTAGAGATGGACGCAATAATGTAGTCATTGTAATCATTTTATATACTAACCTGTAATACAAGCTCTATTTATCTTAAAACAAGGTGGCACTGTGTTAATTGTTCTGAGATATAAGCTATTGAAATAGGTGGAGAAAATAGAAGCAATGGACACGAGTCGGAGTAGCGTCCACTCGTGCTGCCCCTGCGAGGCGTCGGTGCGGACCAACAAAACCACATCGGATAAATCAAGCAAACCATCGCCGAAAGGCAGCGCTGGCAGCAAATGCTGCAGGCCGCCAGGTAACACTGTATTAACTGCCTTTATATGTACGCTCTTTCATGCAGGAAAGAATGTGCATGTAAATGTAGACAAAGAAAACAAGAAAGGCTGTGCGCGCCGACAGTGAGCGCATTCCCACGTCCTTCAATCGCCCCCGATCGATCGATCTCCCGTCAAATTCTAACGGGGATCGAAATCTACGTCCTGAGCCGAGGATCGAATGCCTACCGGTGCACTCAGACTAAAGTTGCATCCGTCAGGTGGGAGTTGGCTTTCAGCTGCTCCATAAGTCTTTCCTTTGGTTTGGAGTGCCATCTGCACTCGCCTCCTCGTAAAGCGTCCGGTAAAGCTATAAAGGCCAGCTGCAAAAAAAATCTACAATCGTGCGAGTTTAAGCGCCATTTTGTAATGGATCATTATCATTGCAAAATGGCGGACATTTGACGGCTTTTTTGTGTTCGCAATGTGTGTACACAATGCTTGTTTTGTGTTCACAGATAATCTACCAACACGGACAACTAGCAAAGAGTTTGTGAATAGTGGAGGAGGGAATAAAAAATAACAAGATAATCTGACAATACACCTAATGTGTTCATAACTCTAATATAACTATAATAATATTTATATTGAAATGTATTTTAATGACAAATAAAATTCTTTTATGTCTTCATTTTTGGAAATTTTTATCCTTTTTTTATATTTGTGTTCAAAAATGTAGATAGGCATATTTTGCATACCATCTTTTTCCCTAACATGACGTTGACAATTGCAAAGACCATATCATACCGCCACTCGCACGCTACGCTCTTAACACGTAATTAAAAAGAGTTGTGAAACTTAAGACTAAATAGTTACGTTTCCTTACCCCTATTCCGTATACTTTCTTAGTATAAGCAGGTTGTATCACCGGCTTGCTTACTGGAGCAAAGGGCGCTTAATAATACTGGCCACTAATAAAAACATGTGGCCACTTAAGAGTTTAGAAGAAAAAAGCAATTTAAAATAAGAATTGGAAGAAAAAAGACGCTCCATATTTTAACTATTAGGTATAAACAAGAAAAGTATCGAATTAATTAATAAAACATTATTGTTTTTATAAAAATATACACTCTGAAGTGCGTGGCCACTAAACTGTACTATACTATACATTAGGACATTCCTGAGCAAAGGTAAGTTTGGTGTTACTTTGCTTACTTTGGTGTGTTCAGAGCGTGGGAGACGTTCTTCCTAGGCGAAATCGTATTTCTCCTTCTTTTTCCAATAATTATTTTCTTTTAAAAAAATACTATCTCCATTTTTATTTCTTCTTTGTAGGGATTAGTATCCCAACTGAAATTTTACTGCTTAAAAAACAGGTATATTTTTACATATATATATTGCCCAAGAGGGCCAGCAAGACAATCAAAAGTATTAAACAGTGAACAAACGTGTAAATAGGAAAATATTTTATTTCCTAATAAATATGTACAAAGCATAAATGTCTAAAAGCAAATTATTATTTACCCTGTTATATACAAATATCTCACATTCAACAAAACATTTAAAATAAATATATTGAATTATTATGAATTCCAAAAACAAGTAATTAACAAAAATTACGCAAATAAAATTTTCAACACACTTGCTCGTAAAGTGGATCTATTTGCACCGGATTTCGATATAATATACATATAAAGCAGCTCATAAAATAATTTAGATATACGAAGCAGTTTAAAAAACACGCGTCCGTTATAAACGCAAATAATGAAGTTATATTCAATAACCGCACTATTTGCTATTTTTTTTATCAAATGTCAAATTGACGTACGCGAGGCGCCAACCGCGCACTGCTTTTAAAAACTAAAATGGCGGGAATGTGCCATAACGAAAATAAATATCAAGATTTTTTCTTTTTGTTTCCTCGTAAGTGTGTTGAAAAACGTTTTGCGATTTAGAAACGTAGTGCGTATTTAACATACTCGGCTCTATTACGCTCTCATTTTCGGCTCGGGCTGTAATTGCCTCGTGTGTTATTTATTTATTTCAGGCTACTAGGCCCATATTATAAATACCTTATAGACTAACATACATATGAAATAATATAAAATTAAAATATAGAAATTGTGTCATCACGACACTGACGGAGGCAATCTGGGCCAGTAGTCTTTCATAACGTACTTAGATACTATTATGAATAAAGGAATAATATTATATAATATTTATAAATAGTTCATGTTACTTTATTTTTAAAAAGACAATCAGACATATTATGTAAATAATTTTATACCATCATACAATTAACAAGCTTTGAGAAATTACAAAAACTATTAATATATAAAATATACAGTTTGTAGTAATTGAAATTTCATATTTCAATTAATACAAACTGTATATTTTATTTATCGCGGGAACGCTAGTCTAATTCGTACTTAACCGAATATTTGGTAAAGTTCTTGTATTATACAGTATCTCAATGGATATCCCTATATCACCTCACCACTGTAGATTTATATATGACTAGCTGATCCTGCGGTTACATCCGCATGAAAATAGCCTATGTTATCATTACATAATATAAAACAAAGTCCCTGTCGCTGTCTGTACGTCTCTATGTATGCTTAGAAGGTTTATATGTATAATACATGTATACCCGTGCGAAGCTGGGGTGGGTAGCTAGTTCTGTTATATAAGCTGTGTTATTGTAAAATTTCACCATAATGCATTCAGTAATTTTTGTGTGAAAGCGTAACAAACATCCATTCATCCATCTATCCATCCAGACTCACAAACTGTTCTGTTTATAACATTAGTAAGATGTGATGAGTGTCGCTACTTTATTCATTTGTTTCCTGTAGTATCTACATACACAGGTGTAATAATTGTACTACATTAGTAAGTTTATTTGGTAGTGTGCTACATGGCTTATAAGCAGTGGTGTAGTTAGGTAACCAAGGGCCCTGGGGCAAATAAAAAAATGGGGCCCCACTGCTCAGCAGTCAGCCTACATTAGTGTTATTAAAACGCACATATCGCTATCCGTCAAATTGACAACACTGCCAACCCACAGAAATTCTTTCTGTGGGTTGGCAGTGAGGTGTAGGGGAACTCTGAAGGTATATTTCGAATTTCTCAACTGAGTTGCCATGATTAGTCGGGTTGCAACTGGTCATAATTATTTTGAAAATGGAAGAAATATTGAAAGGTTCAATTTGATCGAAATTTTCTGGTAAGGGTTCGAGGGCCCCGGTAGCCCTAGGTAGCTACGCCACTACTTATAAGTAACGCGTACATTCGACCCTGAGCCGGAACGTATACTGACTTTACACTGAACTTAATGTTAAGTTATGTGGAGACGTAAACTATTATATAATGGAAGGGTGCCGAGTGTTGACAAAAATATTACAAATGTAGGCACAGTAATGTCTTGATTCAGGATAAAAAAATTACGATCAATACAGAATGTTTCAGAATGAACCATATCTATATTGTTATTCTGCATAATATCACTTAAATAATTGGAACAGCACATCAACCCCACGCTTGACTTTTACAATAATGGAGCACCAATTTACTATCAGTTCCAAAGCATTCATACAAATTCTTCACTGTCTGGTCGGGTGATGGAGCAAATGTTTGATTCACGTACAGAAACTGAAAACAAAAAACATTTATAATTATTTATTTATTTCAGACAACGAGGCCCATATTATAAATACCTTATAGACTAACATACAAATATACATTTAAATAAAATTGGAATCTCTGTTTGTAATATTGAAATAACCGTGTATTTTTTACTACATGCATATGAATATATATAGAGTACATACACCAAAATAACATTTTTTACAATTGTTGTCTGTCTGTCTGTTTGTTTGTTCCGGCTAATCTCTGAAATGGCTGGACCGATTTTAACAGGATTTTTTGGCTGATGTAATAAGGAGTAAGTTAGGCTACCTTTATCTTAGAAAAATAAAGTTAAATTCTACATGGACGAAGTCGCGGGAACAGCTAGTATATAATATAAATAGAAAACACTCAGACCAATACAAACAATAATACTAATTAATACAAATGTTTGCACCATGCAAGGAATCAAACCATCAAATTCAAATTATCTCTATATACATATATATATAATAGACCTACATGAATATGTAGGTCTATTATAGACTCTTATTATATGTCATATTTACCGTCAGTTCGGAATTATTTCGAGATGAGAACTGACAAGAAACTCAGCTTGTATTCTCTTCAAATAAATATTGTACATGTTTACAATGATACAGATTAATTTAAATTCAAATTTGGGAGAATAGAGTGACCACCAGCATATGCTATTGCAAAAGCGAAGAGTCTAATCAGTGTTCGTAACCTGAGCAGACCAGTCCCCACAAGCAGCACCCGCACAAGTATGATGGAAGTAAAGCAGTGTGCTAAACTAATACACCACAGAGGCCATCATGACATAAATAATATGTTTTTTTTATTAGAATAGAATAGAAAATCATTTATTCAAATAAACTTAATTTAAGCACTTTTGAATAGTCATAACCATTTGTTTTTTATCTACCACTTCTTCGAAAAGCTGTCTCATCACAAGAAGGAGCAAGAAACTTAGGTGTTGCTCTTTTAAATAATCCTTGTAAGTTTACATTTACAAGTCGAAACATGTGAATACAAACTATCAACAAGCACTAATTTTTTGGGTGAAATATAAATATACAATAAGATTAAATCAGTTGTAGTGATAAGAGCAGACCAGTCCCTACAAGCAGCACTCGTTCACGAGTATGACGGATGAGCCAGCCATCACTGCGCCCGACCATATTTTAGAGAGCCCAATGAACTGGCCCACCACGCCGCCACATGTCTGGACATTTTATTAAGCTTTATTATCCATTACTTACAATTTTAATTAATATTTTAAGTTAAGACTAATTTGTTTTTTTTATATATATGGTCCCGGTGGGTAAAAGCCTCGTCCAACTTGTTCCATTGTCCATGTTTAGAACTTGCGAAGGCTACAGTATATTTTGTATATGAGAACAGGCCAAGTTAGACCTTAGGCTACAGTATATTATCCTAAGTTATAAGAAGAAATGATATTTTATATTGTTATAAATACATTTCAGGACAGACCATTGAACTTGGCACCCATTTAGATCTCATCTCTTTTGTCATAGAAGTCAACATTCAAGGCATATATCATATTAAACTCGGCTATCAATTCACATTTATGTTTTTGATGGGATTATGATTTCAGTACCAAGAGGAGTTACAACCTACCAATTTCTCATCAGGATCCAGTTTCAAGTATTTCTTAACAAACTCCATGATCCATCCAATCTGCTTCTCTGCAGGCACAGCCCATTTCTTCTTCTTCATTATTGGTGCATTGCCGGTTGCTTTTAATAATATGTCAACTGTAAAACAATAATACATATTAATATATGTACTCTGGGAATGGGATCATTAGTAATGTGGACTGATAACGCGATTGCTGGCACTGTACCATGTCAGGTTGCCCTTTGGAAGTCATTGTAATAAATTCCTGGTGAATTTGTCACGATGCACCAACCAACCTGACCTCATTCTCGCCTCCACTGGCCCCGCCAGCGTGAACCGTTACCGCAGGCAGGTGAACCATATCATATTTATTAAAAAAATCCATTAACAAAATACATGTATATAAAATTTACCTTTCACTTTGTCCGTCTTGCCGCTTTCTACATCATCCTTCTGATCTCCATCTTGTTTAATACTATCAGGTGCGGTGGATACATTTACAGGAGTATTTTCATCACCCATTTGTTATTCTCAGTCAAAATTTTTTATGTATATTTAATTAAGCTACAAGCAAACAATAGTTATTATTATATAAACAAATAAATGTACACAAATTGTTTAGAGAATATAAAAATTAATAACAATTATTGAAATGGTAAATTGTAACAACAGGCAATAATGTTGTCTAAACTAAAACACAGATTAGGAATTCAGAAAACATTGTGAATTATCATGTTACAGTTAAATTAACTGTCAGTCCATCAGTCTGTCCAATAAGCCGGTATGGGCACAGTTCCCTTTGCCTTTCCTTTAAAGGATAAATAGAACAAAAAAAATACATTGATCATAGAGCAATGCATAGTCATAGATTTGATTCATAGATGAAGAGTTTAAATGAAGTGTGTCACTTGTGTACAGTACTTTGTTTCTGACTTTCTGTGACACGCATCGGAACTTGCTGGACTTTAATGTCTTTCTTCGTTAATTTAATAATTAGAATCAACGACAAAAATAGAATTCCGCTTAAAATATTAAGTAAATACTCCGCGTAATATCGTTCATTCGTCAGTGCTAATACTAAAAAATAATTCACTATATTTGACAAAAACTTGTCAATGATTATTACGTGCTTTTCGTAACTTGTAATAACTTGAATCTTTTCTGCAAGCTGCACTTTGTATAAACTAACTTTTTAATTGTGCAATACATATGTAAGTATTATAAAATTTTATTAAAATTAATTAACTGTATCTAAGACCACGTACGTGTGGGTTTCAGAACCACAAGATCACTTCCATACATTTTTTGTTTCTAAACCTATTTGTTTTTTAAAGAATCATTTGTTACGGGAAACAACATCACAGAAAAAACATCATCATCATTGCAAAAAAACATCACAGAAACTGCATTCAAATCAATTAATCCATATCGGATAGTTTACACAAAAGTAAAATTTATTGAAAAATTTGTTTTTTTTTTATATAACAGGCACAGCCAGTTTACTATTTTAAGAAATCGTCATTATAACTTTATTATAACCATATATATCAAATAAATATTTATAATCGTATCATATGCTGATTATGTAGTAAATATTATTTTTAAAGGTAGAAATTTAAAATTATTATGGAGTCATGGCTCAATAATAATTTTTTAACCTTGATTTTAAAGTGAACAGTTCCCATAAATGAAAAATACAATTTTAATTATATCTAAGTATATAGTAGATTGATAATGAGTAGCTAAACATATTTGCAACAATTATATATATATACTAGATGAAAACCCGGCTTCACTCGGGTGAAATGTGGGTAGATATTTCTGTAGTAATCGGTTCTCTAGGAATATGAAAGGCAAGCAAGGCATAGATTTGTATAGCTTCATTCATTGTGTTTAATAAATATAGTAAATAAAAAGTGCAACAACAAATAATTTTTATTTTAAATCAACATTCAAAATAAATTAACAAAACATATAACTTTTGAGGTTTATTCTCTGTAAACTTCTTTGTTTTAAGCACTCTCTACTTTGGCTGATATTTAAAACCAATTGCTTTATCCGAATATCTTTCCCATTCTTGATCATCAACTGGAAGTAAATAAGTACTTATTTTATTCACTTTAAAAAGAAAACATAGAACAAAATTCACTTAAAAACACAATCTGCCTACATACAGACCTACTAAAATACTACTCACCATCTTAATGAAGAGCCCTGCTGCTCGCTGCACCCACAATTGTGACAATGTTTACCAAATGCAAGGAGATTCGCATATTAACAAAATGATACAGGTATCATCAAACAAAAGACCAAACAAAGACAATGAGATATTTTATCAAATACTTACTATTTTCGGCATAATGTGTTTAATCCAAACAAAGTAAATCACTATGCAAAACTAAATGACAATGACATTTGAACTAAAACTTCTACTTTTCTGATTATGGTTATAGTGTGTATGGTCTTCCACAGCCTTCTAGGGAGGTGAAGGTTGGGGCTTCGGGGACCCCTTTGTCCTGGCATCTACTCCAGGGACAACAACCCCCAGGTGGCTAGATCAAAGCCCCTAGGGCAAGTTTACATAAAAAAAAGAAATGAAGAAAAACTACTTAAAGCTTACTACACGTTGTGCCATACTTGGGGACAGAACTTATTTTTTCATTCTTTTTTTTTTATTTAGTCCGCGCGACTCTCAGGGATGTTAAGTTAAGTTCCTAGTTCTGTCGCTCTTTCAATACGACGACGTGGTCCTTCACCGTCCTTTTCTCCTTCTTCCTCTTTTTCCTATCCATTTCCTCTTCCTTTCAACCTTCCCTCTCGCCCCGCGTTAGCTATTTGCTATGCCCCCACTCTGGAGTCGAGCCCCCATAAACATGCGGGGCACGGGGCGACAGGGACACCAAGTAGCTTAGGAATTAGTTTATAAGTGCCATACTTGGTTATAGTTTGTTTTTTTAATCCCGAAGACTAAATTGACAGGTTGAAATGTCAAATTTACAAATAATGTTACCACCTGTAGCGGGGTACTGGTGTACCTGCGATACCGATTTGTTTAATCGGAAAGTTTATTTTAACAAATTAGTTTTAAAGCTTAATATGACGTTTCCATAACAGAATTTTATAATTTAAATATATATTATTTTTATAATATTATAATATAATATTTATTATTTTTGTCGCAGCTAAAAATATATTTTTTTTGTTTCCGTACAAATAGTAATTTTGCAGTATTAATCTACAAACCAACATTTTTGTTCTTACAATCAGCTAAATATTTTAAATAGTTTCATAATATATGACAGAATGAAAAGTTCATTTGTTTTATAAAAAAGACAGTCTTTATTTTAGTGAAAACTAAGAAAATTTTATTTTGATACAACAACCACATATTTATTAATACCTATACTTTATTAATTTTGTGTTAATGCTTTTTAAATAAACACCCACACATTATTTCTGTATAACCTACAAAAACGGGTAAATAATTTAATTTCGAATAGTGCCACACTACAACATTATTTAAAAAATGCAAATACATGGCAACTAGTGCTTATTAAAAAGTGAAGAAATTGTGATTGTTATTAAGTTTATTTTAATAAGTTCGTCAGAACAGAGAAACAACATTTGACATTTATTATTATTTCACATTGGACATTGACTTTAATTTTTGTAATTTATATTGTAAAACTTTATGTTGGGCTAAAAAGAACTTGTATCCGGAGCCGTAAAACAAATTAATAAAACAAAATTGCCAAATTTGTCTGGACAAATTTGGCAATTTCCAAATTTGTGTGTCAATTTCCAAAAATGTGTTTTTTCTTTAAACCTGAAATTTTTTTTCTTTGTCCAGACAAATTTGGCAATTTTGTTTTATTAATTTGTTTTACGGCTCCGGATACAAGTTCTTTTTAGCCCAACATAAAGTTTTACAATATAAATTACAAAAATTAAAGTCAATGTCCAATGTGAAATAATAATAAATGTCAAATGTTGTTTCTCTGTTCTGACGAACTTATTAAAATAAACTTAATAACAATCACAATTTCTTCACTTTTTAATAAGCACTAGTTGCCATGTATTTGCATTTTTTAAATAATGTTGTAGTGTGGCACTATTCGAAATTAAATTATTTACCCGTTTTTGTAGGTTATACAGAAATAATGTGTGGGTGTTTATTTAAAAAGCATTAACACAAAATTAATAAAGTATAGGTATTAATAAATATGTGGTTGTTGTATCAAAATAAAATTTTCTTAGTTTTCACTAAAATAAAGACTGTCTTTTTTATAAAACAAATGAACTTTTCATTCTGTCATATATTATGAAACTATTTAAAATATTTAGCTGATTGTAAGAACAAAAATGTTGGTTTGTAGATTAATACTGCAAAATTACTATTTGTACGGAAAAAAAAATATATTTTTAGCTGCGACAAAAATAATAAATATTATATTATAATATTATAAAAATAATATATATTTAAATTATAAAATTCTGTTATGGAAACGTCATATTAAGCTTTAAAACTAATTTGTTAAAATAAACTTTCCGATTAAACAAATCGGTATCGCAGGTACACCAGTACCCCGCTACAGGTGGTAACATTATTTGTAAATTTGACATTTCAACCTGTCAATTTAGTCTTCGGGATTAAAAAAACAAACTATAACCAAGTATGGCACTTATAAACTAATTCCTAAGCTACTTGGTGTCCCTGTCGCCCCGTGCCCCGCATGTTTATGGGGGCTCGACTCCAGAGTGGGGGCATAGCAAATAGCTAACGCGGGGCGAGAGGGAAGGTTGAAAGGAAGAGGAAATGGATAGGAAAAAGAGGAAGAAGGAGAAAAGGACGGTGAAGGACCACGTCGTCGTACTGAAAGAGCGACAGAACTAGGAACTTAGCAAGTCCCTTAGAGAGTCGTGCGGACTAAATAAAAAAAAGAATGAAAAAATAACTTCTGTCCCCAAGTATGGCACAACGTGTAGTAAGCTTTAAGTAGTTTTTCTTTATTTCTTTTTTTATGTAAATTTGCCCTAGGGGCTTTGATCTAGCCACCTGGGGGTTGTTGTCCCTGGAGTAGATGCCAGGACAAAGGGGTCCCCGAAGCCCCAACCTTCACCTCCCTAGAAGGCTGTGGAAGACCATACACACTATAACCATAATCAGAAAAGTAGAAGTTTTAGTTCAACAACAAATTTGGCAATTTCCAAATTTGTGTGTCAATTTCCAAAAATGTGTTTTTTCTTTAAACCTGAAATTGCCAAATTTGTCTGGACAAATTTGGCAATTTTAGGTTTAAAGAAAAAACACATACACACGATATACGATACACGATAATATCATAAAACAATATTTTCGCGAAATGTCAACGTCATGTTTCCGGCAAAATCTTTCATTTTCGCTAGTGACATGAAAAGATGGCGACTGCAGTTTGTTTGTCAGTGTCATTAGAATTTAACGAAATACTCCATAATCCGAATTTTGCGGATATATGTTGTCGAGTCGAAATCAATATTTTTTTTATGTTTTGTTA